TTGTGAGCTCCTCCGTGTTGATGTTTAGAGAATTCCCCAAGGGCTCTGTCCCTCCAGGCAGCTTGTCTGGGAGCTGATCTTCCATTGTTCATTTTCAAAATAATCTGCCAGAATGTTTGAGCGTTGGTCGCTGTCCACGATATCCCCCTCTTTGTTTTTGATTGTAACCGGCGTCTTCGAAGGTGTAACCATTAGCCCCCGTATGGCTTTCCAAGAGCCCCCGGCCAATGTGGATTCCAACCATTTTGATTTGTCCCGTCGCACTGCCTTCTTGATTTCCTTATTGAGTTTTGTCTCTTCCCCTGTGCCGTTTGTTCTCGCTTGATCTCGTTCTGCCAGCAAGGCAATGGTGGCCCCTGAGATCCATGGTTGGTGCCGTCGTGCTTGGGGCTGGGCTGCAATCTGCGATGCTTCATGCATGGCTCGTGCTACGTTCGCCGCTGCATCGTCCAAAGACTCTGTTTTGGGTAGCTTCGAACGTGCCTCAAGATACGTTTCCCCGAATCTTGTATCCAATGTTGGTGGCCCCCTCAGCGTGGCGAGACAACAGGATGTCTTTGGTTCTTTCTTTTGCGTCTGCTCGAAATGCATGTTCAACTCTGTCAGTACCACGAAATGCCGAGTCGGCAGAGATGCTGTACGATCGCTCCGTATATCCCGCACCATATCCACGTTGGTATTTCCCACCAGACAAAAATCGAGTTGTGCAAAATACTCCGGAGAAGGTGCGCTGCTGGCGTCCACGCCTCGGGCGGGCTGGAGGTACGTGACCGTGTTGTTGGCGGCATGATCGAAAAACGTGTTGCCAATCATGGAGCTCGTAGCCCTGCACGTTTCCAATAATAGTTCTTTGTTGGATTGTGCTAATCGTGATGGTGGGGGCGATTTGTACATATAATCTCAAATTGCGTCTTCTTCGCCAGCCTCTCGTATATATAGCCTGGCATTGAAATCCCCATAACCAAACGCGCATGTGTGCGACCCGGGACGCCTCCAAGCCTTTGCGAAAGAGTCGAAGAAAGATTTCCGATACCCGTAGTCTTTGCCAGCATGTGGTGCATAGCCACACAGTATATTTGCTACGCCGCCACATATTTTGAGCTTCAAAGACGCAAGCCTGTCGCCCAGCAGACAAAAATTGATGACGGACGCGATGGCGGATTGCGCAATGACGAACCCGACGCCGGAGTATAGATATCCTGCGTGGTCTTCGTGGGTCCCAGACAACATTAACAAATACCAATTTCGCATAAAATGGCAAGATTCCTTGCAATGTGTTTCTTGCATGCACAAGATAGCAATATCGAGTTGAACCATGTGGTAGAATATCTGCTCCAGTTTCCCGTAATCTTTTCCAAGCCCTTGCACGTTCCAGGTGGCAACAAATTGGTGTTCCAAAGGTCTGCATGTTCTCTTTTTGCACCCCCATTTTCCTGGGACTGTTTGTTTCCAGCGCCCACTGCCTGATAGGGAATGTCTTGTGTTGACGCCGTCGTTCAGACTGTCGGCAACTTTGTCCGTGATGTCTGAATGGCCGCCTTCATGTCCGAAACCCTGGGGGTGTAGAACAGGAGGGACAAAACGATCAGAAGTTTGAGGATGAAGAAGAACATCTGCACCTCCATTTCTTTGTCCGCTGGCGCGGCGGAAAGTCGATGTCTTCGGTGGTGCGGTAGATGGTGGCGCAGTCCTTGGCGAAGAAGTTGGTGAAACAGCCGATGATGCTGGGACGAGGGTAGCTTTGCCCAATCTCGCGCCCATATCGGCATCATACTTCGAACAACTATTTGGCTCGCATCCGGCTCCGGTGCCGGCCGTTTCCGGCACCGGTTCCGGCACCGGCCGGAGTCCCTATTGTGCTTTTGTTTTCCCTTTGCCTTTGGCGCTTCCCTTCATACAGCGCTTTGCACGGGCCACTAAATCGTCGCATGCTTGTTTGAGGTCTTTCCCATTCCTTTGTCCATGAATACTCCAAGCCCTGTTCTGAAAAGTTTACGGTGATCGCCAGTTCCCCCCCGACGAAGACCTGCAGCGGCGAGCTTTCGATGACCTTGATCGTGTACTCCACGTTCATCATGTCACGCAATATGTATTGCAACCCGAAGCAGAAGTTGCGGGCGGCACGGAGTGCCGGCGGTCTGTCTTGAGTCGCCCAGATTTTCTTTCCACTGATTGTGTAATTTGCGCTTCTGAATAATGCTACTGCGGTATCTCTTTCGGTGGTGTCTGAGAACTCGATGAACACGATCTTCGTGTACTCGCCTTTGCAATAAACTTCTGAAGGAGTTGGTCCGGTCATAGACGCAAGTTTTTGTTCGACCCATTCTTTGGCTTCCAGGAGCGAGTCGATGCCGTCCATGTTGCCGATGACTGCTGTGATCTCCCTCTTGCAGTCAATGTCAGTGTTCTTGTATTGTGATCGCAAGCCGGCGGCCGGACCCAGCGCACGAACTTGGCGTTCAAGGTCCTCGAGCTTAGTGGCCATCGCCTTGTTCGTCGACATTACTGACGTGGATTTCGCGGAAGGCGGCCCCGACGGCATTTCCAGAGCTTCCACTCGAGCGCGTAGTTCCTCTAGATCGGCTTTGATAGGCTGCACTGTCGTCTGGAGGTCGCTCTGTGAAACTCCATGTTGTTTAATTGCTGCAATATCTTGCTGAATAGGTTGTAGGTGTTGTGCAATGAGCGTGCCGATGTTGGATAGAGTCAACGGTGCCTCGATACCTTTTCCCCTTGCCTTTATCTTCCTGCTGATCTCCACCGGCATCAGTAAGGTGTGCTTGGAATTGAAGTTGAAGTGCGCTGGCAAAGGATTCGTCGTCGAGCCCGTCCATTTCATGTAGTGGATTGTGGATCCTATGTTGCTTTGCTTTCCCAGCTGGCGCCGGCGTCGACGATGGTGAAGCAGACGCCGTAGGGGCCTTGAACAAGTGCCTGACAGGGGTTCCTGGCGCGCGCTTATCGCCACCAACGGAAGAAGCCATCTGTGTTATCTCGGAGTCAGGGAACGAAAGTAACAGGTGCAGGAAGGATGAAATGGATGTGAGTGTAGAAGAAAGGCTGTAGAGAAAGGCTTGAGCCACCAAACTTGAGCCAGACAAAAACGGGATCTGCTGACCCGCGTCAATCCAGACCCGGGTCAGCAAAAAAACAAAAAACTGCAATGCAGGAAAAACACATAATTACAACGCAGGTCTTCGCAAACCCGGGTCAGCCAATATGCGCGGCCGCCTCGCGGCCACGAGCGGCTCGCTACCCCGGGTCAGCCAGATGGGGTCTTCGCAGGATCCTGCAGGATCAAGTGTCCTGGCTGACCCCCGTTTGCATTGACCCCCCTCTCAAGGCTCCCGAAGAGTCTCATGATCTTTGGTGCCGGTCAGATCATGCTCACTGTGGCCGACACTCGCGCTGCGCTGTCGGAGGCGCCGGCGCTTGCGAGTGCGAGGATGGGCCGCTGTCTTCCCTCGGCGCTGACTAAAACAGGGCTAGGATCGGGATAAATCGCTCCAGAGCGTTCCGGAGCGCTCTCAGAGCGTTCCGGAACGCTCTGGAGCGGCCGGGGCGCCCAATACATCCTCCAAACCCGCCGATTCTCAGAGATTTCGAGTTATCCCGATCCGATTTTGTCCCGATCTTCGCGTCGTTTAGCTGACAGCCGTGCTCGCGAGTCTTGCAGGGAGGCTCCCGGCCAGGCGTTTTCGCTCCCCGCAGGGCGCTCCGGCCCCGAGCTCCGCCCCGCTGGGCCCCAAGCGCGCGAGGCCCAGCTGCGACGGCAGACTTCTTCGAGGAGGAGATGGGCGAACCTCCGTCGTCCTATCCGGCTCCAAGAGGGCCCCAAGATTGCCTAAGAGGCCTCCAAGAAGGTCCCTAGAGGGTTCCAAGACGGCCCAATAGACATTCAAGACTGCCCTGGACCGCCCCAAGAAGGCCCCAAGGCGGCCCAGAGAGGCCTCAAAGACGGCCTCCGCAGGCGTCAGACGACAGAGGACGGCCCAAGAGGCCCCGAGAAGCTCCCAAGAGGCCCCCAAGAGTGCTCCGACTCTGCTGGGAATACCTGAGGTCTACTTGGCGGCCTGGTGGGGTAAACGCTCCCACAATGTAGACATCCCCCTCACGCGCACGTTGCCGACGCACCCGCAGCCATCAGAGTCCGAGAGGCGCGTGACGGGCAGTTGTGTCCAGTTTCCGCTGCTAGGATTTTCTCTTGGCTCTCCCACCCTACTTGGGACGGCCGTGTGCGTGCGCGTGTCTGTGCGAGCGCTGTGTAGTTCAACGTCTCGGGTCAAGTCAGCCGTTGACTATAGAATCGATGCGACACCAAGGAGCAAACATTCAGCGAACGTCCGTGGTGCCGAAATTCGGGTCTGAAGAGTCCTCGCTCTGCGCTTTTTGGATTCTTTCGAATCGCCGGGGTGCGAGGGGGCCTGGACTTTTAAAAAGTGGTTTGAAAAGTCTGGCCAGCACCTGTGCAGGGCTCGGGGGTGACAGCGCGTAGCAGCACCATGTGCATCCGTAGTGCCTTCTTGACTACCTACCAGACCACCCCAACCCAACCCGAAGACCCGAATTTCGGGTTTGGGGGGGTAATGGTTCCACATGTGTTTTTTCTATGTGTCCCGACCCCCCCACACTGGAACTCGAGGGTAAATTTGAGCCTTCGGGTTGGGTTGGGGTGGTTTGGTGGGTGGTGACTTATCTGGTTCAGGATTGGTATAGGCCGGTGCTTAAAGCCTTTCGCTGCACACTTAAGTGGGTCAATCCTGAGCCTGGCAATGTATTGAAAATCGCCGTCGTACATATGCGATCCTCTTCATGTCAGTGCGTGCGTGCGTGCGTGCGTGCGTGCGTGCGTGTCTGCGCGTGCGTGCGTGCGTGTCTGCGCGTGCGTGCGTGCGTGTTCGCACGTGTGTGTGTGAGAGAGTGTGTGTGTGTGTGTATGTGCGTGTGTGCGGGGAGGGAGGGGGAGAAAGTCCTCCTCCTCCCCCCCCCCCCGCTGCCGCCTCATCCTTCAATTCGTCCTGCCTCTCCTGAACTCCCCTTCCTCACCGCTCCCGCTCGTCCGGCACGGGTCGCCCGTGCAGAGCAGCTGGAGACGAAGGAGGAGCTCCGCCCCCGTGGGCGGAGGAGGAGGGGGGAGAACCAAACGGCAGGGGCAGGGCCACGGCCGGGTGGCGAGCGCGCCTTCCCTCCAGCGCCCCTCCCCCCCGAGAGAGGCGGCGGCCGCGAGCAGGAGCACGCAAACGGGCGGTGCTCCGCTAAGTCTGCGGAGGGAGAAAAAACGGCAGAATCTGCAGCGGGAGCTCGACCGCAGGAAGCCTTCCACAGGAAGGCCCAGCCCCGAGTCCCCAGGACGTCCCTCGGTTCCTGGCGCGGGAGACCGTCACGCTTCCGATCGCGGAGCCATCGAAACCCACGAAAACCAGGGCATGGACAGACCTCCCTCTAGCAACACGCGGTTTCGTGAAAACGACCTCGGGCCCAGACCTGGCGGGCGCAAGCCTGGAAAACGACGGCCGCGGCGCCCTCTCGAGAACCGAGAACGGACAATTCACGAATCGACGTGTCAGGGTAGGAGGTCTGTCCACCCCCCACTGGATAACCACAAACTGTCTCCAGAGCTGCGCGCGGACTCCTTGGATCCGCTGTGCTGGCGTGCGGAGCGCGCCAGGGGCGGCGCCATAGGCGCCGCACGGGGGGCCCAGCGCCGATCTGAATCATCTGCGCGGAGCTCCAACCAATTCAGATTACAGTCACCGTGCTACCATATGAGGAGCGATGGTTTAAGAACGAAGGGACTCTTCTTGCCTTGGCTAGCCTCAGCTAGCCTCGGCGACGGATAAGATACCGAACCTGGATTTCAGAAGCGGACCGGAAGCCGGAGCCCCTCATGATCTCCAAGGGGTCCTTGTGTCAGCGTCTTGGCTGTATGCCGTTTTTCCTCCCCGAGCTAAATATTGAGCATCGTAGACCCCAAGAGCAGTCGACGAGGCTCGCAGGCGCTACGTCCGATGCTTGTTTGCAGCTCAAGCGGGACTCTGGCTGCACAGGATCCTGGACGGCAGAGGAAGCCTGCGCGCAGAGACTCTTGAGCGCAAGGGGGGTCAGCAATGGCAAGAATCGAGACGCGCCTCGTGCACGTCCGCTGCTCCCCAGCACGGGCAGACCACGGGAGCAGAGCAACCGTACGCCCTCGTACAAGCAGGTAGGCGGGTCGAACTCCGAATCGATGTCAGGAATTGCCGCCTTCAGCACATAACCCTCCGCGCGGATGACGACTACGAGGATGAACGAGGTTGTGGAGGGAGAGGTCGAGGGAGGAGAGGGAGGAGGAGGGGTGAGAGGATAGAGGAGGGATGAGAGGAGGATAGAGAGGAAGGAGGAGGGAGGAAGAGGGAGGAGAGGAGGAAGGAGGAAAGAGAGGAAGGAAGATTGAGAGAGAAGGCAGGAGGGAGGATATGTAGAGGGTGGAGAAGAGAGGAGAACAAGCATCATCAGGAACAGGCAAGGAGGGAGCGGGGCAGCAATCGCGACGGTACAAGGCAGCAATCGCGACGGAGGACAGGAAGGAGGAGGAGGAGGAGGAAGGAGATGGAGGGAGGAGGAGGAGGGTAACGACGCGTGGAGGAGTAGGATGTGGACGAACGTAGAGAAGACGAAGAGGGGGAAGATACAGAAAGCGAGGGCAGGCATATAAGAATGAGGCGACGGAGGAGGGGCGAGGGGGCGTACAAGCGAGACGGAGTGCCGCGGAATGGGGCCTGCGAGGACGAGGGGGAGGAGGAACAGGAGAAAGATCCGTAGGAGGAAAGGGCTCCCTCTTCGGCAGAGCAGCATTGGCAAGGCCTCGGGCTGCGCAGTTAGAGAGCCCCGCCAGGAAGGCTACCCGAGTGGCCCAGGGCAGCCCCAGCGCCTCAACCTGAGGGCGCGGAGCGCCCCAGGGGCGCCGCCGAAGGCACTGCCAGGGCGCTGAGACTGCCCCAGGCCGCGCTGGGGGCCTGTTGGGGCCGGCCGGGACTATCTGGTGGGGCCGTTCTTCCGAAGACGCTCCTGGGAGCCTGTCGTAATCACCTGAGTGGCCGCAGTGGCTCCTCCAGTGGCCACCATTGGACCCCAGCGGCCCCCCGCGCGCCTAGAGCCGCCTCCAGTGCGTCATCCAGTGGCCCCCCCGCGGCCTCCAATGGCCTCTAGTGGCCTCCCGTAGCCCCCAGTGGCCTCCAGTGGCGCGAGCAAACGGCTGTGGACCACTAGAGGCGCAGGAAAGCCAGACCAAATGACAATAAGAGGCTCCCAGGATCGATTTCTGAACTGTTCTGTGCGCCACCCGCAGCCCCACTCGGAGCAGGCCGAGCTGAGGCACTGGCAGCTCAGAAGCTACGCCCGGACCCCTCCCGGGGTCCCAGCGCAGAGCTGCGTGCAGCCGTGGCGACGAAGGGGCCCCCCGAAGGCCAACTGCCGTTGTCTCGGCTCGACCTCCCCTGACTTGCCAAAACAGGTGTCGGCGGCGACGATAAGGGCGAATAGCCCAGGGGCGGGCATTACACGCATTCGCCCAGGAGCCTCTTCGAAGACACAGATCACCGGCGCACCTGAATACATGTATTGCTCTCCCCTGGGCTATCCGCCCCTATCGTCGCCGCCGAAATCCGAACGAGGAGCACATGCACCGGCGATGGAAAAGCCGCGGGTGCCTCACACCTCTTCGTCGGATGTTGACGGCGTTCCGACCTCAAAGGTGCCGTCCACCTGCTTCGGGGGCTTGAACGTCACCGTCTGCAGAAAGCGGCGCACCCCCTCCTCCTCCTGGCCGGACGGAGCACAGCAAGACACTCACAGAGGAGGCAACAACTGCGTTAGCAGGATCCGCTGGAGCTCCGCACGGATTGCTGGGATCTGCGCTGGCCCCCCCCCTCCCTGGGACGCGGAGCGCGCGAGGGGCAGCGCCAGAGGCGCCGCCGGGTGGGGGGGGGCAGCGCCGATCCAGCTGGGCGCTGCTTAATGGGGGGTGGGGGGGGCGTTCCGTGGGGGGGGGGAGAAGCGTGAACCTTTCGTGCCCCTTTTGGGCCCATTGAGGCCCCTGAGGTGCACGAGAAGTGCATGTTTGCTCACTCCCCATGCATCGCCCCCCCATGACGCAACGCCCGGTCCAAGAAATCCGCTCGGACTTCCGGAAGTATGAAGACGTCCAGCGCGGGGAACAGTGTCTGAGGGCTGCTGGAATACGTTGGCCCCCCCTCACAGCGAAAAGTGGGCGCAATGAAGCCCACCCGCTCTAAGCCAGGCCCCCCCAGCTCCGCCGCAGCCCACAGCGGATTAATGTGCCGCTCCCCCCCGAACAGAACACCAGCGCGCGCCGAACTCTCCCCCTAGGGCGTCGCAGACCTCGCAATGACAGGTGCAGTGAGGGCATTGGATACGGAAGCGTTGGACAAAGAGTCCAGGGTTTGGAAGCCAGTGGAACTCCAATCGCGGAGTGGCCATGGATATCGCCACCGCCCTCATTCGACAAGGGATCTTCCAGGGTCATAACTATTCTGGACACGTTGCTCAACAAGCGCCCCATCGTACGGCCAGGGCGAGTGTGGCCGAGCGGCCCTGCTTCATGCCGTTGCGCACGCGCGCCGCATGGGAAGAACTCGGTCGCCAGAGCCGCGCCGGAAGCCCGCGACGGGAGGCAGCGCTGAAGGAAGCGGGCGCCCGCTTTGATCCGCAACTCATGCGCGCAAGAATCAATGCTCGATGCCAGCGGTGTCCGCAGGGGCGAGGGCGGGGAGCAACATGCTTTGGGGCTGGCGCCCCGAATCTGGCCCAAATCGGCGCGGCGGTCCCCAAGGACACAGCCCCCCCCCCCCCCACCCGCATCCCAAGACGACGAAGATCACCCAGCCTCTCCGCCAGCGCACATGCAAAACCACCATGTGCAAGGGGGATATATACTCACAACATACCTGCCCCGTGGAGGTGCTCGCTGTGCGCACCATTTTTCTGAAGAAGGGTGCTGTTTATACTCGTTGACCGGCTCCTCCAGAACACGGCTCACCTTCTCCTGGATCGTGTCTGTGATCTTGGTCACGTTTTCTTCGAGCCTGGCAAGCGCATCCTCCAGCACCCTCTTGGTGTGCCGGGACTCCTGCGGCCAGTTGGGAGGACGGGGCGGACGAGAAGCTCTCGTGACAAGCAACCCCGTCCTTCCAAAAGAGGGCACGCATAACAAACCTCAGAAGCACCCCCGCCTCCACAAACCTCAGCACCGAATGCCAAGTACGATGCTTAGATTTGGGGATCGTTACTGGGCCCCTCCCCAACACTCCACATGGCCCACTCGACCCTGAATGTCCGATAGGGGTTGCCTCCTCCTCCTCCTCCTCCTCCTCCTCCTCCTCCTGATCATTCTCCTGCAGCTGAATGAGCATGTCCAGCGACTTCGCATTCCCCCTCAGGCGCAGGCATGCGCTCAGGAACTCCTCGAACTGCACCTCTCCGCTCTCGTCGACGTCGAGCAGCGCGAAGACGTACTTGGCCTCGTCGGCGGTGACGTTGATGTTCTTCCACTCCTTGGCCATGTCTGGGTCTGCCAGGCGATCGTCGAGGTCCTGCTCGGAGATGCAGCCCCAGTTGCCGTCCGACTTGCACTTGTGGAAGAGCGCGATGATCTGGTCCGTGAGGAAATTCTCCTCCTCACGCTCGGCGCTGTGGAGCGCGGTCTGCACGAAGACGCCTGTCAGCACGCCGCCACAAGGTCGGGAACTCTTGCGGAGCGCGTCGCGGCGGCCCCTGCGACACAACATGCCCTGCGAGCTCATGGCGTGCCGCTGCGCTCCGAGAGGCGGGGGGATGGGAAGAGGTCGGGACGTTGACGCTCAGCGGCGGGGGGCGTGGATGGCGTGCAGCGCCGAAGCGTGGTGGGCCAGAGCAGGCAGCGCGACACGCTCCGCAGACCTTACCAGTCAAACTTCCCCTCGGGAGCCCACGAAGGACGCACGCGCTCACCCACAAGCATGAACACGGTCCTCCCATCCGCGAGACCGTCCGCGCGGCAGGAACGTTCGCGCAACGCGTGCTCTCGAAAACAACGTGGACTCGTGTACGTGTACGTCCTTCGGCAGCTCCTGAGGATCCTCCTCCCACTGCTTCCCTGGCAAGACACGTACGGCTTGATGGGCCTGTTTTCCACCACCACCATAAGTTGGAGGGGGAAGGAAGTGGAGGACGAAGAGGAGGAGACGGACGAAGAGGAGGAGGAGGAGGAGGAGGAGGAGGAGGAGGAGGAGGAGGAGGAGGAAGAGAGGAGGAGAGCAGGAGGAGGAGGAGGAGGAGGAGGAGGAGGAGGCGGAGGCGGAGGAGGAGGACCCCCTCCCCCTCCTACTTATGGTGGCGGCGGTGGAAAACAAGCCCACCAACGGCTCCTGTCACCACATTCATCAGCGCCAACAGCGAAAAGGCGATCCGCCGCTGTGCAGCGAGGCACGCGCTTGAGTCTCCTTGGGGCCACCCATCCAGCTCTTTGCACTGGAGTTGCACTGAAATTTGAATATCTGATATCGGACTCCCCTTTCAGGGCCCTAGTCTTGAGGTAACTAGTGTAAAGTATAATGTATGTGCCAATGTACGACTTTAACTAGTCATCTAGAATAGCTAATCGCTGAGGGCTGCTTCGCTTGAACGTTTTATGACCACATCTTGAAATATGAAACCAACGAACTGAAAGCCGAGAGAACTCGTGGTACAAGATATGCAGGGACACATCCTTCGTCGACCGCGAGCTTTGTGTGGTGCTCGGAGGGCACCCGCCGACCAACCTCGAAACATCCGAGGAAGCCTCTTCAGCCCTCAGAGCATGCGAGCGCCCATGAAGGCCCTCCAGGGGCCCTCCAGGGGCCCTCTAGGAGAGCCCCTGGAGGGCCCCCCCAGGGGATCTGCGAAAGGGGCTTCCGAGAGGGAGCCCGCCCTGCCAGCCAGGGCCTCCCACCCCAAGGGCGCCCACGAGACCGCCAGCAAGCCCCGCGAGCGGTCCCCGAGAGGCCCCCCGGGAGGCCCCCAAGAGGCTCACCAGAGAGAAGACCTCCGCGAACCCCCCCGCCCCTCCGAGCGGCCTCCCGCGAGGCGCGCAGGGGCTGCCTCCTGCTCGCGGGACTGGGGCACGGCGGAGGGGGCCGAAGAAGCAACCGGATGAAGGCGGCGAAGGCGAGGCCGAGCATCGGCTCTATCTCCACCATGAGCGGGTCCCCCATGTCGCTCCTCGGACATCGAAGAACCACCCACACCCTCCGGTCCCAGCTCCCATTCCCGAGCCGGCGAGTCAAGGGGTCGGGACCCGGAGTGGGGGCGCTTCCTCCGGTCGTGGACCCCGAAGAGCCACCCCCACCCCCAGTCCCGACCCCGCTGGATCGCGCGCTCGGGGATGGGGTCGGGACTGGGGGTGGGGGCGGAATTTCGCCTTCTCGGCTCCAGTCGACGCCCCCCGAGAGCGCCTGCCACAGTGAGAGGATCGTCCTGGCGAGGAGGGAGGGGCGGGCGAGGGGTGACGAGCGGCGACCCTCGCGGCCCGGATTTCGCGGCGCGATCCCGCGGATGTGCGGTCGCACGGGCACGTTCCGTGATTAGGGTATCCGCGGAAACCCTCCCCGTATTCGCGGGTTTGCGGTCCAGGGTCCTGGCCCGCGAGGCCGTGGATCCGGATCGGTTTTTTGTTTTGCACACGGGAGAGGGGCCGAACGAGGATTTTTTCAAGGGGAGGCAGATGAGCGTTCGGAAGAAGGACGGGGAGAAGGATGAGGGGCCTGGCAAGCGAGTTGAAGTGATGCTTGAGAGATGATTCCCCTTCGGAGAAGTCGATGAAGACGCCATTGTCGTCGTAATCGGAGCGCGTGATGAAGAAATCGGTGACCGTCTGGAGAAACCATACGCCCACGATGTACATCATCAGCAGGAGCAGTAGCACCGTCCTGGCAATTCGTCCGTCTCCCCCCAGGTCCCTCTTTCCTCCATGGTGGCCCCACATCTTGAAGGGGCGCTTCGAGCGACCCCCATCAAGAGGAGGCGGAGGAGGAGGAGGAGGCGGAGGAGGAGGAGGAGGAGGAGGAGGAGAGACTCTGAGGGATTCTGATCAAATAAGCGCTTCGAGCGATTCCCAGCCGAGAGCGCGAGGCGCCCCCCAGGGAGCCACAGGCACCCTGGGAGCCTGGAGGCCGCGGCGTGCAGCCATCAGTGGTCGAGCACACCAGGCGGCATCCCCGGGGAACACCGGCATCTGCGGGCCTGGCGGCCGCCTTGCGCAGAATGCGAGAGGCGGGTCGGGAGCTTGGTCATCGGAATGTCACAGCCCCGGTGTTTCCGTTGGGGAGCAGCCAAGTCGAAGCTGGCAAGGCCAACATGACATGACAAACCGTGCGGCTACACACACACACACCTTTATATATACATGCATACATCCATCCATCCATCCATCCATCGATCCATCCATCCATCCATCCATCCATCCATCCATACATGCATGCATGCATGCATACATACATACATACATACATACATACATACACATGTGTACATATATATATACAGATATGTAAACAGATGTGTATACATATATGTATACACAAATATGTACCACAAACATGTAACATATATGTCTATATATGTATACACAATATGTACAGACATGTATACATATGTGTAACACAAATATGCATCTATGTATACTTATATGTATACACATACCTGTGTGTATGTGTATGTAATTCCGTCACCGTGCCTCGAGGCATAAAGTGGAGTTACCCCCGGCCTCTCATGTGTTCTCTGTCTGTTCTCTGAACTCAGGACCGGGGGATGTTGGAGTATTCGAAGGGCTTGGGCCCCAGATTCTCAAATTTCCTGGGCGCTCCCGCGCGCCCCTGGACCGCCTCGAGTGACTTTGCCAAATGCCAGAGGGCCCCAAGACGGGCCAACAGGGCACCAGAAAGTGCCCAAGTGGGTCCAAGAGGCCACCAAGATAGCCCAAGAGCGCTCCAAGACGCCCAAGATGGCCTCAAGACGGCCCAGAAGGCCCCAAAGAAGCCCCAAAAGCGCTCCAAGAGGACCCCCAAGAGGGCCTAAAGAGGCAAACATCATTGATTGCCTCCTGTCTTTGTATGTTTTTCGCGTTCTCTCAGTTTCGGGCTTCCGACGCTCCAAGATGGCCCCAGAGGCCTCCAAGACCGCCCCAAGACGGCCCAAGAGGCCTCCAAGACCGCCCCAAGACGGTCCAAGAGGGCCCCAAACGGCCCAAGAGGCGCCCAAGATTGCCCAGGAGGGCCCCAAGACGACCCCAAGAAGGGCCCAAGAGGGGGAACATGAACCGACAACTCGAGCCTTCCGCCCCAAGAGGCCCCCAGGAGGCCCCAAGAAGCCCGCAAGAGAGCCCAAAAGGCCCCCTAGAGACCACACGAGGCCACCAAGAGGCCCAAAAGAGGCTCCCAAACGGCCCCCAAGAGGCTTCAAAACTGCGTCCAAGAGGGCCCCGAGAGGCCTCCCACGACATCCAAACGAACATCCACGAGGCCTGTGACCCACAACCCAGCTCGGTGGCGGGGTGGGCCAAAGACCAGTAGGTCCGCCGCCACCTGTTGCTTGCGCGGGCCAAATCCAATCGTTTTTGGTGTTGGTTCTTTTTCCAAAAGAACTCCCCTTGGGGTTTCGGCCCGTCCCGCCGGGGTCCTGGAAAGATTGCCCAGACCCGGCTCCAAAAGGTTCTTCCGGCTCCAGACGGCTCCAAGACGGCCCAAAATGGCCTCCAAGACGGCTAAGATGGCCCCAAGCTCCAAGACAGCCCAGGATGCACCCAAGACGGCCTTAGATGGCCTCAAGATGGCCCAAGAGGCCCCCAAGAGGCCCCCAAGAGGCCTCCAAAACGGCCCAAGAGGCCTCCAAGAGTTCCTCCAGGAGGGCCCGAAGAGGCCCAAATCATTGAAGTGCCTTGAGTGTTTGTAGGATGTTGGCATGTGCTTCTTTTCGGCCTTCCGACGGCCTAAGTTGGCCCAAGAGGCCCCCACGATCGCCCACGAGGCTTCCAAGATGGCCCCATGACGGCCCCCAAGACGGCCCCAACAAGGCCAAGAAGGCCCAAGAGGCCTCCAAGACGCCCACGATCTCCAAGACGGCTGAAATGGCCCCAGGATTCCTCCAACACGGCCCAATATGCACCCAAGACGGCCTGAGATGGCCTCCGGATGGCCTAAGACGGGCCACGAGGCCGCCAAGAGGGCCCGAAGAGGCCCAAATCATTGAAGCGCCTTGAGTGTTTGAAGCATGTTGGCATGTGTTTCTTTTCGGCCTTCCGACGGCTCAAGACGGCCCACGACGCCCCAAATGTCGCCCACGAGGCCTCCAACATGGCCCCATGGCGGCCCAAGAAGCCCCCAAGATGGCCCCAAGAGGGCCCAAGGGGCTTCCAAGACGGCCAAAATGGCCCCCAAAACGGCGAAGATGGCCCCCAGATGCCCCCAAGACGGCCCAAGATGCACCCAAGACGGCTCATGATGGCCTAAGACGGCCCAAGATGCCCCCAAGAGGTTTCCCATACGGCGAATCGTGCTGAGGCCTTACGGCCAGCGCCGCCGACCCTGAATACCTCGGCCCCCGAGGGTGACGGGATGCGTGATAAGACGTCGGAGGTAAATTGAAGACGTGGCTGAAGAGGAGGCGGAGGAGGAGAAGGAGGAGGAGGAGGAGGAGGAGGAGGGGGAGAAGGAGGGGGAGGACGTGGAGGAGGAGGAAGAGGAGCAGGAGGAGGAGGAGGAGAGGAGGAGGAGGAGGAGGAGGAGGGGAGAGGGGGGAGGAGGGGGGACGAGGAGGAGGAGGAGGAGGAGGAGGAGAGGAGGAGGAGGAGGAGGAGGAGGAGGAGGAGGAGCGAACGTCTTCTGAGAGGGCGCGTTCGTCTGAGAGCCGCGCTGCGGCGCGCCAGCCCCGCCCGACAGATCGGCGGGCAGCTTCAGGGCTCGGCGGGCGGCAGCAACGGCGGTCGTCTGCTTGATGCACGTGATCGGGAGGCCGATGTCTTTCGTCATGTGGTACGTTCTGGTGGCCACGGAGAGCCTGGCGATGCTGTTCGGGATGCCGTTCTCACCGTGGAACGGCTCGGTCAGCTCGGGAAGGCCGAGCCTTGTCATGAGGTTGGTGCTCAGCTGGCCGCGCGACAAGCTCAACTGGTGCCACATCCTTTCGCATACTAGGTAAAATTGGATGCTGTCGTCGGCGTGCAGGCACACGGGTGCTTAGTCGGGATCACGTGCATCCCGTGCGAGTTCGTCCACGCGCCCGTGAGGACCTTCAAAGCGCTCCACAGCATGGGTGGCGGCAGGGTCGCTAGGTGAGAGCGGAGGCGCATCCACCGGGCAGGGAGATCATCAGGAACTTGCTGGACCTGAAGGAGGTCACGATGTGCGTCGGCGTCGGCAGGTGGGTCTTCAGCGCCCATGTCGTCGTCGTCGCGGTGAATGTCGCCTGGGTCGGCGTCGGGTTCCAGCAAAGGCAGGACGTGGGCAATCCAGCGGCGTCGGGCACGGTGTTGGGCAGCCTCATGGGTGAGCAGCGAAGTGCGACTGCGTGGCGATCGGCTGGGCGGCGACTCGCCCAGGGTCTCTGAGCGCGCCAGGCGGTGCTCCGGGAGGATGCGTCCAGGGCCGCTGGTGTCCCGCGCTTGAATGCACGCGTCGATGGCAATGCGGCGTCGTTGGGATTCGGTGGCGTGCAACGGCTGGAACAGGTCGGCGCCGAGCAGCTCGTACAGGCATGTGACGCACCAGTGCCTCCAGTCGTCTTGGTCGTTGATGAGTCGGTCGTTCAACAGGCGATTGGGCAGCCAGTGCGCGGCCCATGAGCGCGCCCTGTTCAGAAGGCGTTATTGGGCTCGTTCGGCATCACGTCGTGGTCCAGACGGCGGTTCTCGAGTAAGTTGGCGGGCAGGATCCAGCGAGGTGTACCATGCGATCAACCGGCGTTTGATGGTGTCAGGCACGGTGCCTATGTAGAGCTGCTCGTTCAGAGACTTCATGTAGGTTTTCTGCGGGGTGGCATTGGCGGAGCTGCGATGTTGATGACGATCAGGATTTTGAAATAGATGAGGGGCACGGCGTTGAAGACTGGCTTGCTGTCCTGCTCTGGCGGCACGCTTGTGGCTGGCGATCATGGCAGCTCGTGCGCGGGGTCTGGGACCACCAGTGCGCGTCAGGCGCTTGAGATGCGATCATCTGCAGTCAAAGAAGAAGGTGGAGTTGATGACACCCCCGAAGCGCTGGACGATGGCGGTCTTGATATCCCATCAGTCGTTGCACCATGCGCCTTGCGCTGCAGTGGTGACGGGAAGCTGGTCATATGCGGTGTCGCAAAGTTCGCGACGTGCGCGTCGCCACTCTGTCGCAGTGGTCGACGCCGATCTCCAGAGAGTGGCGGCGAGGTATTTTCGATGCCGATGGGGGCCTCCGCGTTCGTCCAGAGCGACATCGCGAGGGCGTCGGGCTTGGCGAAGCTGGATGGGGGCGACGCGCAGCAGCTTGTTGATGGCCTGCAGCTCCTTCTGCAGGATGCCCTCGGGCGGTCCGAAGGGCTGGCCGGCGTAGCCCTGGCGCGCGACGGCGGCGACGTCGTGCAGCTTGATGCTTCGTCGGGTGGGGGCGAGCGAGGCGGCGAGCCTCTCCGCGCGATTCCACCATCTCACTGCGGGGCCACGCCAGTGGTAAGCAAGCGCGGCGCCAGGGCCCACGAAGAAGCCAAGGTAGCGAGCTGCGGGCTCAATCTTGAAGTCGAACCAGGGGGCGTGGGCCGCTGCAAGGACGCATTGCATCTCGGCTATGAGGTCCTGCGATGGGAGGGCCCAAGTCGGGGCGACGATGCATTTCTTGGCCTGGAGCTGGAGGCCTGCAACGGCCTCGGCTGCGATCATGTGGGGGGCAAGCGCGCTGATGTCGGCCAG